ACAGGAGCCTGGGCTGGGAAGCCGGAGATAGCTGCAGAATCAGCATGTGCTGGGAGTGTGTTGGAAATGCAGACTCACCCCAGCCCCACCGAACTGCAGTAAGATCCCTAGGTGATCTGCGGACACCTGCAGAAGAAAGTTGGAGAGGCGCTGGCTTAGAGACTTTGTCCCCCAACCTCACCACTTGCACTTTGTATTAGCTCGAGCTGCCGTAAAAAGTACCACAGACGGGGTGGCTTAAACAACAGAAATTTATTTTCTCATAGTTCTGGAGGCTGGAAGTCCGAGATCAAGGTGCTGGCAGGGTTGGCTTCTTCTGAGGCTTCTCCTCAGCTTGCAGAGGGCCACCTTCTTGCTGTGTCCTCACATGGTCATCCCTCTGTGCACGCAGATCCCTGGTGTCTCCCTCTGTGTCCAAATTTCCTTTTCTTGTGAGGGACACCAGTTAGATTAGATTAACTGTCTTGTTTTGACTTAGTCACCGCTATAAAGACTACCTCCAAGTACAGTTATGTTCAGAAGTGCTGGAGGTTAGGGCTTCAACATATGAATTTTGTGGGAGATGCAATTCAGAACAGTGACACCACTTTAAAGAAGAAGCAGCTAAGGTTCAGAGAAGTGTGTGACGGTCCACAGTCACACTGCAGGCTGAGAGGTGAGAGCTTCATTTCCGACAAGCCCTCTGGAGTGGCAGGGAGGATAGTGTGCGAGACCAGGACATGGAGTCTGAGGTCTCAGCTTTGCTCCCACTACTTAAGTGATCTTCGATAAATGCCTTAACATCCACAGACCTTAGTTTCCTTTTCTGCGAAATGGGGACAGTAAAAGGCTGCCCCTCACGAGGCCGTGAGGATTCAATGAGATCTAGATGGGAAATGCAGATTACCATGCCAAGGCCGGTGGCCTGCTGACCCCGCTCTGACAGCCTCTGTGCTTTGCCCGCCATCAAAATCCTCTCGTATTTACTGCTAGCCAGAATGCCTGATTATTTTCCCCAGGTGATTTGCAGTGTAATAGCTGGAAAAACCAAGGGTTTAAAATGGTCACAGTGGAATTTCAGGCATCAGCTGGCAGGGGCACAGGGCTGTTCTTGAAAGCCGAGTTCGTGACAGGCAGTAAGAGAAAAACCCGCTGACGTGCCCTTGCCCTTCCACCTGGCTGCCTGGGGGTTCTCGCTCCTAAATTATAGGCCACGCGCAATTTGATTTCGTTTCATTCTAAATTGCCCAGCCTGCAACCTGGGAGGAAATCAATTCTGCTGTGCAAATATGCCAGCGCCTGCTAACTTTGGGCCGCTTACAAATGAGGCCCAGCTACGGAGTATTAAGGCAATGACCACAGTTTGCCTTTGGGGGTCAAACTAGGCACGAATGCAAAATTGTTTTCAAGTGTTTTGCTGTTCAGATTTATGTAGCATGCATCCTGTAAGGACCTACTCTATGCAAAGTGCTTTGCTAAGGCTGGAGCCGGACAATGGAGAGAACGCGTCTCCCTTTCTGTGCTTGGAGGGGCTCAGAGGCAGAATCACTCTTCTGGGACAGAGGGGCTCCCTTTCTTTTATCCATCCTTTATCCATCTGTGGTTTTTTCTTTTTTGGAGGGGTTGCTTAAAATCCTGCCCCCATGTCTGGCATCCGGATAGCCGGTCGGAGGGAAGCAGATTCTTTTAATCTGCGCCCAACCCTGGCCTTGGTGGTAAGGCATTCTCCCCAGGTCTGGGGCTAGATTCTTCAGTGTGGTCAAGTTGTCTAGTTTGTGGACTTCCCAGCTCCTCTGTTCCCCTCTGGCTTTTGACTCTATCAGCATCCGCTCTTGCCTCCCAGATTGCAGGGTCCAAAGAGAGAGGGACAGTAGTCATATCCTGAGTCACCGTGGACAAAGTGTGGGAGACTCCCCCGTGCTCTGGGTCCCGTCCATCCACCGTCCAGCTGTGGCTGTCACTGCATCTGAGCTCTCCTGCAGCCCCGCCCTGCTTCTTCCCTGTGTGTCACCCTCACATGCCCAGGGCTCCGTAGGCCCCTTGTCGTGAGATCTCCTGCTATATGGGATCTGCTGAACTTATTCACATGAAGCAGTGAATAATTAATAACAATTGCTCCTTTCTGGAGTCCTTGCATTTTAACAAGAGGCCAATGCTTTAATAAAAAAAAAAAAAAAAAGAGGGCTTCCCTGGTGGCGCAGTGGTTGAGAATCCGCCTGCCAATGCAGGGGACACGGGTTCGAGCCCTGGTCCGGCAAGATCCCATATACTGCGGAGCAGCTGAGCCCGTGCGCCACAACTACTGAGCCTGTGCTCTAGAGCCTGCGAGCCACAACTACTGAAGCCCACTTGCCACAACTACTGAGTCTGCGTGCCTAGAGCCCATGCTCCGCAATGAGAAGCCACCACAGTGAGAAGCCCGCGCACTGCAACGAAGAGCAGCCCCCGCCCACCAAAACTAGAGAAAGCCCGCGCGCAGCAGCAAAGACCCAACACAGACAAAAATAAAATAAATAAATTTCTAAAAAAAATTTTTTTTAAGGAAGAAAGTAAGAAACATAACAGGTAGAACGATAGGCCTATAGTTTCTGCTGGAGGGCCTTACGCGTGCCTGCCAAGCATGCGCCATCGTCCTCGCTTGAATCAAAGGCTGAAGGCCATCAGCCCGTTTGCCGCCTTGTCAGCAACCCTGGTGGGTGGGCAGCTGCAAGCCGAGATGCCTGCTGCCCATTAGAGAAACTTGTCCACTGAAAACCGGGGATGTCAGCAGAAATGCATAGTGAATCAAAAACTGGAACAAATCGCTTTAATTAGCTAAAACCCAAACCTAATTCAAACAGTATTTCTTCACTGGACCATGAACCAACTTCATTCTCCCCCTCTCCCTAGTTGACTAGTTTCGCCCAGAATTGAACCAAGGTGGGAATGTGCTCACCGTCTGGTGAGCAAACGCTCCCCATTTCATAGGTGTGGACACAGAGCCCTGAAAGTTGTGGCCCAGCTCAAGGTCATAGGGCACCTAATGGGCCCAGATTTGACTGTTTACTCTGATATCCCCTTACTAATTTCTCCACTATTCCATGAGACCTGTTGACTCAGAACCTCAAGAGATAGTCCAAGTTACGCCATACGTCGTGTATTCTTTTTAAAAAAAATTTTTTTATTTTTGGCTGCGTTTGGTCTCTGTTGCTATGCACGGGCTTTCTCTAGTTGTGTTGAGCAGGGGCTACTCTTCCTTGCGGTGCACAGCCTTCTCATTGGTCTTTGTTGTGGAGCACAGGCTCTAGGCGCGCAGGCTTCAGTAGTTGCAGCTTGCGGGCTCAGTAGTCGTGGCTCATGGGCTCTAGAGCGCAGGCTCGGTAGTTGTGGCGCACAGGCTTAGTTGCTCTGCGGCATGGGGGATCTTCCCAGACCAGGGCTCGAACCCGTGTCCCCTGCATTGGCAGGCGGATTCTTAACCACTGTGCCACCAGGGAAGTCCCTACATTGTCTATTCTTGTGGTTTTTGTTTTGTTTTTGATTATTTATTTATTATTTTTTAAACCATTTTTAAAAATTGGAGTATAGTTAATTTACAATGTTGTGTTAGTCTCAGGTGTACAGCAAAGTGATTCAGTTATTATCATATATATTCTTTTTCGGATTCTTTTCCATTATAGGTCATTACAAATATTGTGTATTTTTGAATCAAGATCCTCTCTTAAACTAAGAAGTTGGTAACCCAAATGGGAAATGGGTGGTTAGGTAGGAATTCTCCCAGCCTTCCATTCCTCCCACAGCCCTAGAAAATCAGAGGTAAACCTTCAAAATTGATTGTGATTCAGTTTACATTACGATGACTAATATTGTCATGGTCATTATTTGCCTCAGTTAATCTACTCATTTTTACTTACCTCTCAGAGGTTACAACAACATTCGGCTAAGTCCGTGGTTCTTAACTGGGGGAGATTTTGCCCCCCAGGGACATTGGCAATTTCGGGAGACATTTTTGGTTGTCACCTTACTGCTAAACAATGCCTAGGACAGCTCCACCCCCCGCACAAAGAATTGTCTGGCCCCAAATGTCAACAGGGTCAGGATTGAGAAACCCTGATCTGATCAACACAAAAGGGGGAGAAAATCTCCTGCAAATCCTGCTAGTTCAACAAATAAAACTCTTTCCTTTTCCGTGTTTCTCCCAGTCTCCACCCCACTATGTGTACTTAAAATTTCTATAGTTCTATCACCACGGCACAAATACAGTTGACATCCCATTTTTTTTCACTTATGGCATCCTGAGCTTTTGTCCCTCAGGCCTCATTGTCTCCATAATTACCATTTTTAATGGATGTGATGCAGTCCTCCAAGCAGGTTGACGTCCCCTATTTTACCTGACCCATCCAAGTTCTCATCCGGGATGGTTACTGAGAGCCTTGCCAGGCGGGCTGCGTGGGGTGGGGAGCTTGCGTGGGCCCTGCTGTGACCAGTTTTCTCCTCCGCCTGCAGCGCAGGCTGATGCCATCATAGTTTTCATCATCAACAGGCCTTTATGAAACGCCTTGGTGAATATATCCTGGCCCCGGCGGGGAGGTATCTTCCGCAGAGATCATCCCACCAGCCCCTGACATCCAAGGCTCGTTGGCTCGAACAGGCAGCATATATGTCAACCAACCATGAAGGCATCCGAAGACTGGGCTGTAGGCCCCAGGCACAGGGTGCAAAAGCAGATTCTTAGGCAATATTCATGACAGGAGTAAGTGCACCTGGAATGCAAAGACAGGCTGGATTCCCAAAGGGAGTCAGGACCTTGAATTCTCTCCTCCCCCTGACTGCAGGCTTCTGGAAGGACATGGGAGGTTAGAAGCGATGGGAGGGAGGCAGGAGCAGCTTGACAGGTCAAGGACTCGGGGTCAAGTGTTCCAGGCTCCAGTGTACAAGTGCACAGTCTGGGAGAAAGCTAGAGGCTACCGGAGATGTTCCTCCTGAGACCTTCCCGCCACCCTCTCGTCTCACCTCGGCGCCCCTTTCTCTTCCCCCTGCAGGTGTTCCATGAGCAGGGCATCCTCTTCGGCTACCGACATCCACAGAGTTCTGCCACGGCCTGTCTCCTCAGCCTTTTCCAAATGACCAATGAGACCCTCAACATCTGGACGCACTTGCTGCCCTTCTGGTACCTCCCAGCCCCCTTGACCAGCTGCTCATTCAGAGCCTGGGAACTGGGGCTTCTTTAAACACACCTGGGGTGGAGAGAGCTGAGATTCCGTGATGGGATTTGGGGGACTCCCCCGTGGTGCTGGGAGGTGTGGCGGTCTGCTGCTGGGGTGAGCTCTAGAACCCAGATTGTGGTAGGATCCGAGGGGCTCCTGGAAGCTCCCCGGTCTTTCCCTGCTCCCCTGCTTCGGGGCCTGATTTGAGAGGATTGTCTTATTCAGTCTTGGAGGCTTTCTGGGTCTTCTGGAAGCCCTGGCTAAAATTCCCTAGCTTCAGCAAGTCACTTAACCTCTCTGGGCTTCGCAATTTCCCACATGCAAAGCAGGATAGTCTGCGCCTTTCCTGGGGTTGCCCTGAGGATTAGGCGATGAGGCATTGGAAAAGGCATCGGGCACAGAGCTGTGGGTGCCTGGGACCACAGCAGCTGTGAGGCATTTGGTCAGGCAGCAGTTAAATGGAGCCAGTCAAGAGAACGCTCCAGCACGTGCACACGCACAAATGGGAACTGCCAGGAAGGTGAGGAGGGACCTGGCTGAGAAAGGTGGGGACCGAAGACCAGCTTCACATACCTGGTGCCTGTGCATAGCGAGTGAAGGGTGGAGATGGGGTCATAGTATACGAGAGCTGGAAGGACCATGGCAGTCATGCAGGCCACCAGCCGACTCAGACCACCACTGGCTGACACAGATGCGGCCCAGAGGAAGGAGTGACTTGCTTACATCCCCTGGCAAGTTCTGGCACAGGATGGTCTCTGGACTCCCCCTCCCAATCATATTGAGAAGCCAAGAGAGTAGGAAGGACCCCAGGGTGTGCTGTAGGTAGAGAGGGGCCCGAGGACGGGGGCCTGCCTGGCCAGCAGTCAGACACAGACCCGGGGCAAAAATCAGGGGAAGGCTGCTTGGTGTCAGAAACGTTGCCAGTGAAGAGAGAGAGCTCAGGCTTGGGGTGGGATAGGACCACCTGTAAAGAAGCCCTAGCGCCTGCAGACTGGTCCGGGTGGCAGCAAGATCTGCTCACGGAGGCTGCTCGTTGTTTTAAATTTAAGTAAACTGGACACACTTGCTGCCCTTCTGGTACCTCCCAGAAGGGTAAAGAGTCTAAATGATAATAAATTATAACATCGCAGAAGGCAGTAGAGTCGGAGTCTTCCCCCCGGCCCCTCTTCGTCCTCTCTGGAGCCGCCGGGGTGACCAGCTGCTCGTGCATCCTCCCAGAACGCTTTTCTAGAGACTCGAGCATCTGTGACATGTGTACACCCAGCACCTGGTTCTTTCCTCCCTTGCTTTTCCCTCAGAGATCTCTTGTCTGACCTTCACAGAAGCCTCTCTGGCTTTTGAGCGGTGTTCCATTTTCTGGATGAACCACAGGTGACTTAGGCTATTTTGAAGTTTGTGCCACTGCAAAGTGCCAGCCTGACCATCCCTGTTTGTGGGGCTTGAGTTGCTGTGCGCAGATCCCGTTGTAGCTGTTTTACAGCTGAGACATGCTGGCAGGGGCGCCCCACTGGGCATGACGCCCCTGTACTGCCAGGCCCTGAGAGCGCAACACAGAGCAGCAAGGAGGGCTTGGGAGAGCCGGAGAAAGATGCCCCAGGGAAGCGGGACTCGGGAGTAATCTCAAGATGATAAAAGGGTACATTCTGAAAAATAGCAGATAGCTTAAGCTTGATTTCTGCTGGGACAGGAGGGAAAAGATCACAAATGTAGCCAGAGAATTTAGCGATGCTCTTGGGGTTCCTGCGTGAAAAGCTTTTAGGCCCTTCCCTGGGAGAGTTTGTGGGCAAGGGGCCTGGCTCTCTAGTAGAGGTTTGTGGAAGCGGGCAGCTCTACAAGCAAGAACCCCACGCATGGGTTATAGGTTAGGCAGATCTGACACAGAACTGTGTAGTGTCTCCATGTAGAGAAGTGTCTGGAGGCCTAGGCTTAGCCGAGACTCAGCCGTGGGACCAGGCCCCTCAGAAAAGAGATGGTGATATTAGTGGAGGAATAGCATGGGAGAGGGGAGAGAAAATCGTCCTGTTGTCTTCCAGACTTTCCAGACCCCACAGAGGGGATTGCTTCTCTTTGAGGTGCCCTCCTGCAAGGGGAACTTGGACCAACCACAGAGATGACGACAAGGCCAAATTTGGATCCCATGAGGAATGGTTGAATGCACTGAGGTTTTTTCATGTGAAGCTCAGAGAGGTGTGAGGGATTATGAAGACAGCCTTGAGATATTTGATGGGTTTGTTTTCTGTTGCGCTGATGGGGAGACCTAGGGCTGATCCAATGGAGAGAGATTTCAGGGAGACAGATGGAGGCTCAGTGAAACTTTGCAACACTCAGAGCTGCCTCAAGAGATGGTGAGCTCCCCATCCCTGGAAGCATGCAAGCTGAAGCTGGAGAGTCACCTGGGCAAGATGCTGTAAAACGGATCTGTCACCACACACAGGGGGAGGGGACTGGACCATTGCCCATCCTGCATATTTCCAACCAAAAAGGACCCCACTCACCCTTCCTCGCTCATGGCACGTCACCAAAGCGAGACCATGTAGAAGCCTGTCATCCCAGAGAAATGGAAGGCAGACAATGGTCGGCTGAGGACTGTAAGAGGGGCCCCTGTCTCGGAGGTTGAGGGTGTCCCCCTGTGTTCTAGGTTCTTCATGTGGAGGTTCGTGAGCACCCTGCGTGTGACGGACGTCCTGAATGACAGCTACTCCTGGCCTCTGCTCGTGTACATGGGCGCCAGCTGTGTGTACCCCCTCGCGTCCAGCTGTGCACACACCTTCAGCTCCATGTCCAGGAACGCCCGGCATATCTGCTATTTCCTGGACTACGGCGCCGTCAACCTCTTCAGCCTGGGTACGTCAGGCCCTGCTCTTGTCTCCTCTTCCCTGGGACTGAACCACCCGCATCTTCCCCTGGGAGCTGGGGTCACCGTGAGGCTCTGGTGGGCTTCTGGAAGAGTCACCGCAATGCCAGTGCCCCTGCCCGGGTGCCTGATGAGTGTTTTATAAGAAACTTGTCCAAAGGCGTGCTGGCAAATATTGAACAACTGGCTCTCTGTGGACAAAAGTCCCGGTCCGTGGTGTTGACAGGTTTGCTCTGGTGTAAGTACTCCTGCCACGGCCAGCTTCAAGCTGACAACATCACTGAACACAGGGCTGGGGAGAGATGCATGATAGGTCCCCATTACGTAGCAATTCCTCTGTACAGGTACAGCGAGTGCATTGACCGAACAGTTGATACTCTTGTTAATATGATGGATAGCATTGTAAGTTTGTCATTCAAATTTTTTTTTATAACTTTTATTTATTTATGTATATATGTATGTATGTATGTATTGGCTGCGTTGGGTCTTCGTTGCTGCGTGTGGGCTTTCTCTAGTTGCGGCGAGCGGGGGCTACTCTTCGTTGTGGTGCGCAGGCTTCTCATTGCAGGGGCTTCTTTTGTTGCGGAGTATGCGCTCCAGGTGTGCGAGCTTCAGTAGTTGTGGCACGCAGGCTCAGTAGCTGTGGTCCGTGGGCTCTAGAGCGCAGGCTCAGTAGTTGTGGCGCATGGGCTTAGTTGCTCCACGGCGTGTGGGATCTTCCCGGACCAGGGCTCGAACCCATGTCTCCTGAATTGGCAGGCGGATTCTTAACCACTGCGCCACCAGGGAAGCCCTGTCATTCAATTTTTAATGATGGCCGTGTTTAACAATTGGCTTGCGAGTTCCCTGACACTAACAATCTGCTGTCACAGGCCAGGGTGAGCCAACTCCACTCATCAGTGCTGGTCTCTGTTGTGCCCCGCAGAGAAGGGGGTGGTCACAGACCCCATCGGTCTGGAGGCTTGTAGGGGCTGGAGCTGCAGGGATAGAGTGAGGGGAGGTGGGGGGTTGACACCCTCTCCCCCTGTCTCCTCTCCTCTCCCCCAGTTGTGGGCATCCGTCTGTCCGCTGGCATCCCAGCTCTAGCCGCTTCGTCCCACCTGGTCCTGCTCCAGGTGTGAGAGCAAAGTCACCGTCTTCCCTTTGCCCAAGAGGGTGTGTGAGGAACCTACCTCCAACCTGTTCTCCCGCCCCTCTCCCTCTCTCTTCACTAGTAACACACACATGCATACATACACACCAACACACACACATAGACAAACATAGACACACACACACACACACACACGAGTCTCTACATGCTCACCAGTCCTCAGTGCTCTGCTGCACAGTCCCCACTGTTCACTAAAACCCTGGTTGCCGAGGCCCCAGCCTCCTCCTGACTCACAGGATCCACGCAGGCCCCGTGGGCTCCCTCTCCAGCCTTTGATGCAGGGGCACCCCCGTGCTCCCCCAACCTCCCCTGCTTCCTCTGGCCCCTGTTACATCACTCCCTCCTAGTTTTCCTCCCACCCATTCACATGCTCATCCTGCTTGGCCAGTTCCCCTGCCTCCGTCCCTCCATGGGTGCACAAGCTGGGAGTCCACTCTGGGGCCTCTGCTCTTCCATGGTCAGGCTCCCTGGGAGATCTCCTCTGCGCCCACACCATCCCCCAACACATCTGGGGGACACTCCCAAACCCCATCTCTAGTAAACTGCTCACCCAAGCTCCACACCACATCCAGCCCTGGGACCAAGACTGTCTACATCCTCCCCGCCCCCGCCCTTGCATCCACTCCCCTTCGAGTCAGAAATCTATGAATAATCAAGTTCCCCCTGCCTCTCACACGCCACCCATCCCACTTCACCATCCTGTCTAATCGGTTGGCAAACTCAGTTGAGTTTCTCCTACATACTTTTCAAATCGGCCGTGCCCCCATTGGCTTGACTCAGTCCCTCTCACCTCTCCCCTGGGCTTCACCCAGCTGCCCCGTGGGGTTTCCTCCAGGCCTTCTGACCATGGCACCCCTCCCACTTAAACTTTGCCGGGTTCCCGGTTACCTGGGATGAAGTCCAAACTCCTTAACCCGGCAGCTTCCATCACCCTCGATCGCCTGCCCCAGACTCATTTATGATAAGGGCAAGCGTTTTGGAGGCATCACGGCAGGCTCCATGCCGAGCACCCGACCCACATCCCACATCACCAAGGGGTGGCATAACGCGGGGCTTAGCGGCCTAACTGCACCACCCGCTAATACTTATATGCTCTTAGGCAAGATACAGTTGGCACAGTATGTTCCTCATGGGAGTGTTATAAAGATTAAATGGGTTTTGTACGTGAAGCGTGTCGGACAGTGCCTGGCACTTAGTGAGCAACAGACGGTAGCGATTACCACGATTACGTAGTTAACCCTGACAGCAGGCCCCTGAGGTGGGGACCATCATTACACCCACGCTACAGGTGAGAACACTAAAGGTAAGTTACCCGGGTCACGCAGCTTGTAAATGGCAGAGCCAGGGCCTGGGAGCCTCAGGGCCCCTGCCTGTGGCTTCCTCCAAGTCCCCGGGCCTGGATCCACCTCCATGGAGCTCTGTCTGATTCCTTCATTTCTGCTCCGCACTGGAAACAACTCCCTGAGGACAGCCATGTGTCTTTCACATCTGTTTTTCCAGTCCATAGCCCAGAGCCTGACATGGGGGTGTTCAGTAAACCTGGAAGGAGGGTCTAGTCAGTCGAGAGAGCCTATGGGATCCACCTGGGACTCCCTTGTCTGCAGCCATCTCTCCTCCTCCCTGACCCCATGGAAACCCTCAATCCCTGGAGGGTGGCGTTTGCTCAGCTTCCTCCCCGAAGTCCAGCTGTTCCCCTCCCTCTTGGACCTCCCGCGCACTTTCACTAGGCTTTGACCATCTTAATCCCCTGCTCAAAAACCTTCGGTGGGCCCCCTATTGCCTGAAAGGGGACGTTCACTTTCCTTAGTCTGGCATCCAAAGGTGTCTCCTGGTCCTGCTCCCTGGAAAGCCGTCCGTGCCCTCAGGCACCCGTAAGAATCCCCCATCTTCCAAGGATGCTTCCAAGGTCAGCCGCTTGACTGCATGCCTGCCCCTCCTGAACGCCCACCTCACCCTGGAACCCGCCTGGAGGCGCTCACCAGTTTCCCTTTCCACTGCGCTTTTTGGCAGGGACTGAGTCTCCTTCGCTTTTATATCACCCATGGAGCTTGGCCCCAGCCAATATATGCAGAGCAGAAGCATCCTGGCCCACATGGGAGCTTCCCCGTGGTATCAGGCTGAGGCAAGAATCTGGTCCCCTGGAGGCAGTTCCAGCTGAAATCTCACAGGTAGCCTGCAGGAGTGGGGAGCGTTGTACCAGGAGTAGTTTCTTGGCCCTTTCTGCCTGTATGACCCTGGGCACATCCCTGGGCTTCACTAGATTTCACCATTCACATGGGATCAAAGGCAGAGGTTGAACGTGCATGGCCTGAGGTTGAGTTCAGCCTTGAACTAGCATTCCAGGGTTCTTTGTTTTTGGATAACAGGTGTCCTTAGGCCTGATCTTAGGCTCTGCGCTGACAGGCCTGCAGCTGCCTCTCCCAAAAGGGACCTCAGCAGGTGAGGGTGCCTGGAGAGGCCATCTGGTCCAGGCTCCTGGACACATCTGTCCCCTTTGAAAAGGACAGTGATCTCCCCTGTTCTTTCAAACAAAAGCTACAGCAGACAGGTCTCTAAAAGGTCCTTCAGTAACCCTTCTCTCACAGACTCCAAAACCTAAAACAAAACAAAATGCTGAGATGCTAGCATCTCACGCCCAGCCTCTCAGCTGGCCAGTCCCCCAGCCCGCTGATATGACACACCTCGCCTCAGCAAGGGCCCTCCCTCATCCCACCCCATCCCCTCCCCTGCAGCCTTGATCGTTCCACAAGGGACACCCATATCATCAGGCAGGTGAGATGTGCACACTCAGAGCAAAGCTGAGCACACTGGGGTGTCATCGTGGACCATACTTAAAAGCAGGGACTGTTGCTGAACTGCCTGCGTTTGAAGCTTGGCTTTGCTGCTTTCTAGCTGTGTGCTCCTGGGAGGCTTACTAAGCCTCTCTGTGCCTCCATTTCCTCATCTGTAAAATGAGGATGAGTGCAGGATTGATGTCAGAGGGTGGTTGTAAAGTTTATGTGAGTTAATGCATGTCAAGCCCTTGGAGCAGTGCTGGAGCAGTGCTGGGCTCACAGAACATTCTCATGCTTGGGGGGTGATGTGTGATGGCATAAGCAAGGGGAGAGCGGCAGGACTGCTCATGGTCTGTGGGGATGATGGGGGGGCTCACCCAGATGCGGGGGGGTTTGGTCTTCCCAAGGAGTCCAGACAGTGCTGAGTCCTGGCTTATTGCCCGAGGCTGGTTTTTCTTCTCAGGCTCGGCCATTGCCTACTCTGCCTATGTGTTCCCGGACGCGCTGGTGAACACCGTCTTCCACGACTACTACGTGGCCCTGGCTGTGCTGAACACCATCATTAGCACCGGCCTCTCCTGCTATTCCAGGTACCCGGCTGCTCTGTCTCAGATGGGATGGGGTTGGGGGCGGCACAGAGCACGCAGCTCCCTGGACTGTTGGAGGGGACAGTGGAAAAGACGCTCGGGAACCTGGGACTCAGTTCCAGATGGACTTCCAGTGGCCGGGCAGGACCAGCTTCACAGGCACATGCCTGTGCAGGCACTCAGGGCCCTGTGATCAAGAAGGCTCCACGCTTGGTTTAATTCCCTGCTGTTGTTTCGAAACACTTAATGAGTTTTGAACAAGGGAGTCTCCCTACTTTCCTTCTGCCCTGGGCTCTACAAGTTATGTAGCTTGTCCTGTTGCTGAACAAGTCTCTTACCCTCCTTGAACCTCAGTTTTATCATCTATAAAATGGGGTCAAGGGAGTTCCCTGGTGGTCCAGTGGTTAGGACTTGGTGTTTTCACTGCTGTGGCCCAGGGTCAGTCCCTGGTTGGGGAACTAAGATCCTGCAAGCTGCGTGGCATGGCCAAAAAAAAAAAAAAAATGTGGGTTCAACACAGCTACCTTGTGAGACGGTTGTAAGGATTACAGGTAATGTATCCAGAACACCTAACACAAGCCTGGCCCATAGGAGGTGCCCCATAAATGGGCCATCTGCTAATAGGGACAGAGGGGGCTGGCCTCTTGATAGAAGCACACCTTGGAGATACTGCAGGTTCAGTTCCAGACAACCGCAATAAAGCCAACATCACAATAAGGCAAGTCACACAAACTTTTTGGTTTCCCAGTGCATATGAAAGTTATATTTACACTATAGCCTATTAAGTGTGCAATAGCATTATGTCTAAAGAAACAATGTGCACACATTTATTAAAGAATACTTCATTGGGCTTCCCTGGTGGCGCAGTGGTTGAGAGTCCGCCTGCCGATGCAGGAGACGCGGGTTCGTGCCCCGGTCCGGGAAGATCCCACATGCCGCGGAGCGGCTGGGCCCGTGAGCCATGGCCGCTGAGCCTGCGCGTCCGGAGTCTGTGCTCCGTAACGGGAGAGGCCACAACAGTGAGAGGCCCGTGTACCGCAAAAAAACAAAAAAATAAAAAACGTTACTGCTAAAAATGCTATCATCTGACAACACAGTGTTGCCACAAACCTTCAATTTGCAAAAACCACAATAAAGCAAAGTGCAATAAAACAAGATATGCCTGTCTGTGTGGTGGGTGATGGATGATAATCAAATGTCCAACACGTCCCCAGGGGAAGACCGGTGGCCATGAGTCATGCCCAGCTCACTGGCTCTTATTCCTTCTATTTTTTTCCTTCCACTCAAGGAAGCTCATTGGAGTATGAGTACAAGAGACATTTTTTAGGATAACTACTTTAGTTTATTCAGCTCTTGGTCAAACTGAACTACCCGAAATTACTTGGGAAACCTCTGGAATGGTGGTTTTGGGGTAACATCCCAGTGTAGATGGTGCTGGGAACTGGGGGCCTTTCATGGTGGTTAGGAAGAGCGCCAGGGAAGGCTGGCGGTCACCCCTGGCCATCTGTCCCCCTACCCGCGACTCCACTGAGCCAGTCTGAGTCTTCCGAATAGACTGCTGCTGGCCTCATAGAATTCGTATTCCTGGCAGCTGCCACCTCTTCCCTCCCCAGGAGAAAACAGGGAGGGAAAGGTATCCTTCTGCAACTTCCCTGCAATGATTTTGGCTCCAGCTTTCTCTGGGTGGCACTTTGGTTTTGTGGGATCTGGAGGTAGGCAAGTTCCCCAAACCTGACAGGTTGGTTTTCTTTAAAAACCAAAGGATACAGCCTTACACAGCATCGGGGATGCTTGTCCCAACTTGCTTCCACTTACCTGTCCTGAGGCAGGTGGTGGGAAGCACAGAGCTGCTTGCCATGGGGGTGTGTCTCATTTCCAGGCTCAGTCTCAAGACTGGGCTTTGTGTTGCTTTGTCCCTGGGGTGGGAGTGGGGGGTAAACACCCCCTTCCCTCTTCCTGGAAATCAGAGCGCCCCTCCAGCTGTGAGGAGATAGGGTCTGCCCAGAGGGTAGAAAACTGAATCAGGCACCATGGGGTTATTATTTCCTTCTCCCCCAATTCCTCAAGGGCTCTGGCGATTAAAAGCTCTTTCTGAAGCGCAGCCTCTGTGCCGGGCCAGAGCTGTGAGGGCTGCCACGGGTGGGGCAGAGGAGGACACTGGGTCCCTGCCTTGGGTGAGACAAGGCGTAACATACACAGAAAAGTAACGCTGATGCTAAAAACGGCCCAAGAGAGATGAAGCGTGGCCTGGAGGCACAGTGTCTGGATGTGAGGGCTCACCGACAGGCCTGGGCCAAAGACACACCTGGATCAGGTCCTTGGACGAGCCACTGTCCTGCCTGGCTAGCTTCTGGGGGGCTGTGTGGCTCTGCTGTTGCGAACTTAGGATCAGAGGGAGGCGAGCACTGCGGACTGGTGGGGCAGGTGGGCTTCACGGGTGGAAGAAACAGTCCCGCCATTCATGACCCAGGACCGCTTTCCTATGATCTCCCAGTGCAAATTCTTGGAACTTTTTTTTTTTTTAATCTTCCTGAATCACCTATAAGCCATGAGGGTATATTGTTTTCTTCTAGCCAGGAGTCCTCCCTGATTGTTCGGGTACAATGAATGGGTCTTTTTTTGTTTCTTTTTAATTTATGAATTTTGGCTGTGTTGGATCTTCGTTGCTGTGCACGGGCTTTCTCTAGTTGTGGCGAGCGGGGGCTACTCTTTGTTGCAGTGCGCGGGCTGCTCATTGCGGTGGCTTCTCTTGTTGCAGAGCTTGGGCTCTAGGTGCGCGGGCTTCAGTAATTGTGGCTCGTGGGTTCAGTAGCTACAGCATGCGGGCCCTAGAGAGTGTAGGCTTCAGTAGTTGTGGTGTACAGGCTCAGTAGTTGTGGCTCGCGGGCTCTAGAGCGCAGGCTCAGTAGTTGTGGCGCATGGGCTTAGTTGCTCCGCGGCATGTGGGATCTTCCCGGACCGGGGCTCGAACCCATGTCCCCTGCATTGGCAGGCAGATTCTTAACCACTGTGCCACCAGGGAAGTCCCTGAATGGGTCTTTTGGATGTGACATGCCTGGCACCTTTAGACAAACTTGTTTGGCAGGGCAAGTTGGCCAAGAATCTCTTGAATGTCCATTTGGGGCTTCTCCCTTGTCAATGAAATGGATTATTTCTGTTTATGGGGCACATCTGTGGCTGTTTCATCCATCCGTCTATCCATCCATCTACCCACCCACCCATTCATCCATCCACCCGTTCATCATCCATCCACCTATTCATCCATCCATCCACCCTTCCATCCAGCTACCCACCCATCCATCCATCTACCCAGCCATCTATCCATCCACCCATCCACTTATTCAGTTTATCCACCCATCCACCCATCCACCCATCCACCCACCCACCCATCCATCCATCCATCCATCCATCCATCCATCTATCCACCCACCCATTCATGCATTGATCTACCCACCCAACCACCCATCCTTCCATCAATGCATCCAACCAACCACTCAACATTCCTTAAATGCCTGCCATGCTCCAAGTGTCATGTTAAGACCTGGGAATACAGGGATGAGTGAGGCCTCGTCCTCAGAGAGTGCCCCATGCAGTATGAGAAGCAGACTGCAGACCCTCAAAAAGTCCAGATGGAGTCATCATTTCCTTTAAAGGCCAGAGGAAAAGGCTTTCAGTGTGTAGCATTACAGGGTATAACATAAGCAAATAATGATAATACAAAATGACACCTGCTTGGATTCCCAAGCTTCCGCGAAGTGGCCTTAGGAATGAGTATTGAGGAAGGTTGAACACTTTACCTGGAGAGGAGGGAAGGGCCTTTTGGACAGAGCCAACAGCCTGGACAAGGGCGAGGGCCTGGAGAGGATGGGGTGGCATTGGGAGGCAACAGGGAGCTTCAGAGTTGCCAGAGCCTGTGGGGCTGGAAGTGCGGAGAACAGCTAGAGGGGGCCTAGAGAGAGGCGGGGGAAATGGAAGCACCTCGTGTGTCCTACAGAGGACTGGCCCTGTCCTCGTGAAGGACAGTCAACTTCCTAGGAAGACAATTCTGTGGGCTCAGCTCCCGTGCCCTGCGGGGCTTAAGTGGGGGCTTGGGGGACAGAAAGAGAGGGGCAAACGCCACATGCTGAGAGTCAAGGATAGAGTGGGACGTCCCCCCGTGGGCGCGTCCGGCCTCCTTCGTATCTTGTCCGCTCTCCGTTCAGTGTGTCGGTGGATCCCTGCTCTTACAAGGCCCGTCCCCTTTGTTTTCATTCTCTGTCTTTGTCTTCAGTGTCTGAGGAGTGAGGAAGGGGACTCGTGTGTGCGGAGAGGTTCTGGCCCTGATTAACTTCAAGAGAAGCAGGTGGAGGAGGGCGAGGGCCGTCTGGGGTCCCGATTTCACAGACTTGCTGTGCTGCCTCTGGCCGATCACGGCCTTTAAATAGGGGCATCTAAGAAGATGTCCCCTGGGTTCCTCCTGGTGTGGGCATTCTATGATGCCCACTTCAGCGCCTTTTCCAAGATTTCTCTCCTTGCCTTCTCTACCCCCCAAGCCCACGTCTGCCTCTCCCCTCCCGCCTCTCCCTATCCGTCCGTGGTATGGCCGGTAGTGGCTGAGAACCACCTTCCCTGAGCAGCAGACCGTGAAGCTCAGGAGTCATGCTTTAGTTATCCACATGCTTCCCAGAGTAGCATGGTCCTAGTGGCGTTCATTCCCTTACGATACATGTCCATTAGGTAAAGTCCACCCAGGGAGGCGTGGACTCCCCCAACTGGTCTCTCGATCCTTATCATGGAATTCAGTTCAAAGGAACACGTTCCAGAAAACCGCTTTCTTGTTCTGCAGCATTTGAAGGGGGGAATGACAGAACGGGTGACCTCTCTGTGGCTCTCGGAGCCAGGTGAGGGTGACAGAGAGAGACCCTGCCTGCTTATACCTGCCGACAGCCCGAAAGCCCAGGAAGGCACCACCACTCTCTCAGGAATGTTAGTTACACAGTGTTTGCTGTTCACCACGAGTCACTGTATGCACTTTTCTGTTCATCCATTCAAAGCTTCCAACCCTTGGACACATACTTGCTCAGTGAAATGCCTTGTGGTCGGTGCTGTGAGGGAGAGATGAATTCTCATCCTTGGTGGATAGTGAGCTGTGCTGTGAGAGCCTTGCCGTGGCAGTGCTGTCGTGGCAGCTCAGAGAGGCATGGGGCAGGCCTGGAAGTGGGTTTGGAGGCCAGAGCTGGAGACAGGAGGCTTAACAGACAGTGGTTCTCAGGTACATCTGGAGGTCAGAGGGTTCAGTCAGATGACAGAGTGCTGCTAGGGCCAGGGGCCAGCACATAGAAATGTCCACATTGCTGCTATGTCACCCACACAACAACCAAACTACCATAACACCCGCCCCCAACACACATACAGACACACCTCCACGACAGTATGATGTTTCCAAAGGCCCACTTCTTTCAGGCACTAGTTCCAGAATTCACCTGCAAATCTTTCCAGCTTTGTTGCAACAAGAATTTATCAGGTTTCAGAATAGGCTGGTATTGTATCAACCCTCTCTTGCTGGAGGCTTCTCCCCAAATCCAGTGTTTCCTGCCCACCTGGTTCTAGGCAGAGGAGGCCTGGCTCCCTGACTCCCAGCTCTGGGGTGCAGGGATTCCCTTACCAGGCGAGGCTTTGGAGACTTTGTGGTGTGGGGTGCTTTGGAGGATGCTGTGGCTCCCTCCCATCCCTCTCCGAACCTCTGGCTGTGGCGACACCCTGTGGCCTGATTTGGAATTGCACCTTGGTAGTGGGAGCCGCCCCCCACCCGCCCTCCGCCTCTGTGGCTGCTGGCCCTTCTGCCTCTTATTCTTTGTTGCTGTCTCTCGTCTGTTCTGCTTTTTCTCCTTTTTCCCTCTGTAGACTCGGCTTTGCAGCTGGAGAGGCTGGTTCGTTTGCCCTTGGGGAAGTACTTTATCAGGCCGGGCGAAATGTCTCAAGTTGCAGGAAATCCATGGTTTGGGGGATGGCCCTCGTCAGCCAGAGCCAGCCTTTTTCCTGTGTAAGTGGCCGCAGAAAGAGCATTGCTTTAATAGCGAGTCTCTTTGCACCCAGAGGTGATAGGCGGTGGCAGTGCATGGGGAGGGAGGGAGTGGGCTTGCCGTGGTTGGACAGGGTCTGCCAGCGTGGACTGAGAAGGCCATCGAGATGGGCCCTGGTTCCTGGGGCAGCGGGAGTGTGTTCCGATTGCCTCCTGGGGCAGAGGGGTGTCTGTAAGGTAAGGACAGAGGCTGGGTAGTGGTCAGATGCCTGCCCTGCCTGCACAACGGGAGAGGGTGGGAAGCCAGCCAGATGGCCCTGGCTGTAAGTCCTAGCTTTGCCTCTTATTAGCTCCTGTGATTTTAGGCAAATCACGCAGAACTCATCTGGTTCCTCCTGTTCCTATTTTCTGGTACGACGTAGCTACAGGATGGGGATGGGGACAGGGTGGCTCCTACAACACACGTTCTTTTTAAAAGCTGCCATTTCGTGAGTGTTACTCTGTGCTGTGCACAGCTGTAAGTTCTTTGAGAGCATCATTTTATCAAACCCTTGCAACAATCCCTTGCAGGGATTCTGTTGTTGTCCCTATGTTACACATGAGGATTTGGGGGCACACAAGGGTTACATCACCTGCTGGATGACATGGTCACAAAGGGCGGGGACAGGATCAGACTCAGGGTGTCTGCCAGATCGTGACCCTGTGCAGCCTCACCAATCCCGGAGTTTGTGGTTCCTTCCAAGGCTGGGGTTCTGTTCTGGGGGATGGTGAATTGAGGTCCCTTATTTCTCCTCCTCCTTCTTGAACTTCTCTTCCATCTCTGCCCAGTGTCCACAGGGTCAGGAAAGAAGGAGGGACATGCCCATGGGCTGGAGCAAAGTTGGAGCTGATCTCTGGCGGTTATGGGGCTTCTCGGGGTCCACGGTGGCTGCCTCTTACCCAGAACAGGGATCCCCAGGCTGGGCTGCCCTGAGAGCTCGACGGCACACAGCAGCCTGGCGATGTCATGTCCTCAGACACGATTCTGAGCTGGACGCTGGGGTTGGAGAGCTGAGCAGACCCAGCTCTGCCCTCGAGGAGAGTTCCCCGACCACTCAGGAGGCAGATGTGGGTGTCTCTGCCATTTTCCATGCCAAAGGATGTGGGCACAGGGGGGCTCGTAGTCAGGTGACTGCACTGGCTCGTAGGGGACGTGAATAACCTGGAGGGGGAGATGGGCCTGGGCTGCAGGGGCAGCAGTCTATGTTTGGTGGAGAAGGGGCAGGCCAGTGGGCTGGGACGGGGTATCTGGGGAGCAGAGGTGAAGAGCAGTGGTGGGACCTAGACTCCAGCCCCGCTGGAGAGTGCGATGAGGGGCAGAACTGTCGACGGGGGGCTGAGATGGCCCCAGCGCCTCGCTCATCTTACGGGCTGCACTAGAGCAGCTACCCCACGAGCCTTGGCGCCCGGGCTCTGCACACCACCCTTGGGGGTCCTCTGGCCTCGCAGCCCTGTGGGCACCAAGGGAGGATCCATCCCCCACAATACGCTGTGCTGCTGAAGCGGGTACTTGCCCTGCCTCCCGGCCCAGCCTGGGCGTGTGGGCTCTCCCTCGCCCGAGCCCCAGTTCAGGGCTGTGGTTTCATGTGGAGCCTCTCTTTACCCCTCCCCTCCCAGTATCCAGCCTGCCATCTGTGCTGCCGGGCTCCGCACACCCTCAGCTGCTGCCCCCTCCTCAGGCTGGGCCCAAGCCAGCTGAGGCCCCATCGTGTTCCATCCAGGAGGAGCTGCCTGTCTTTGCGACAGTCACCACCACTCATTTTAATGCTGGCTTCATCTGTCTTGGAACCGGAGGCAGGTGGGAGTGATGATGAAAGAGAGAAGGAAGGACAATGCTTACTCAGTTTCCCCAGCCCGGTATCCCTGTGTGTGGTATTAAATATTCCAGAAATCTCTTAAGTTATTAAACACCTAATTGTACCCAGGGCTTCTGCAGGGTAATCAGCTGGCGCCTCTGGCTAATTAAGCATCTCAACCTTCGCAGAGGTGCTCGCCCCAGGAACCTCTCAGGATGCTGGGAGATGGTTGCCCCCTCCCCGCCCACTCTGAGCTCTTTCCACATCTGAGACTGAGCCGTTCCCATCAGGGTGGGATAAGTGGAGAGTGCTGGGGGAGAAGCTGCTGGCCGTAGGAGGAGCTTGTGCAAAAAATGCTTGTCCTTCGTGGGTTACTCGCCCTTGGTTATTTTTAATGTGCATGTGTGTGTTATTTACTGAAACTCTTTTTTCATTCTCATTTCTCCCCCCTTTCCTTCCCTGATTTAGGTTTCTTGAGGTCCAGAAGCCCAGGCTCTGTAAGATGCTTCGTGTCCTGGCCTTCGCTTATCCCTACACCTGGGACTCCCTTCCCATCTTCTCTAGGGTAAGGGCCCAGCTCCAACCCCTCTCTGCCTGTTGACAGCATCAGGGAATCAATTGTGTCCTGAGCTCTGGGGGTCAGAGCGCCATCCTGGTCACAGTGGGACACACAGGAGTAGAGCCCCAGGTGCTCCTCTTTTTTTTTTTTCTTTAATAAATTTATTTTATTTATTTATTTTTGGCTGCATTGGGTCTTCCTTGCTGCGCGTGGGCTTTCTCTAGCTGTGGTGAGCGGGGGCTACTCTTCATTGCAGTACGCGGGCTTCTCATTGCAGTGGCTTCTCTTCTTGCAGAACGTGGGCTCTAGGCTCACGGGCTTCAGTAGTTGTGGCACGCGGGCTCAGTAGTTGTGGCGCACGGGCTGAGTTGCTCCGCGGCATGTGGGATCTTCCCGGACCAGGGCTTGAACCCGTGTCCCCTGCATCGGCAGGCGGATTCTTAACCACTGCGCCACCAGGGAAGCCCTCCTCATCTTTAAATGAGGCTGACATCCTGTCCTTCACAGGGGGATAGAGGAGAATAATCAAATAAACAGAACTGATGGGCTCAGCAATGCCAAGCCCAGGCCCAGTGGGTGGAGTTCCCTTCCCAGAGGCAGCGTAAGGGTCTGCTGCGTGAGGCCAGGATGGCAGGGCCCAGGGATAAAGGAGAGGGGTTGAGCTGGCTTCCTTAGCTGAGGCACTGAGCGTGTGCTCCTGCTGAGTTCGTGTGGGCCTGGGGGGGACCCAGAGATGGGGATGCAGCCCATTTCCTTGAATTCTTCTTCGAGGACACAGACCACACACAGGAAACCAGAGCAAAGAACAAGCCGGTCCCACAAGGCCACCAAAGCATACAGCACAGGTTCTTGCTATTATGAGCGCTGGGTGCTCCTGGTACTGCACCAGCCAGTGGGCAGCAGGAGAGGGGAGGGCTTACCCTAAATGGCGATGTGGCTGAGCACACAGGTTCTGGAGTCAGCCTGACTTCACTGTTAGTTAGTGGTTTGCAAGTCACCCTCCAGCCCAGTTTCCTCATCTGCAAAATGGGGGGAATAGTGTCTGCCTTGTGGTCATTGTTGAGGCTCCGACGAAGTGATGCACGTAAAAGGCCTGGTCTAGTACCCTCCGTAGTGGTGGCTGCCGCCGCTATTTATAACAATCGTACAAAAACCGTACTGAAATCCACACCAGGGTAATGTCCATAATTAATAGTTTGTGATGATTCAGAAGGCCTTCCAGGGATTTTTAGGCCTTAAAGCCTTAATTAGGAGCATCCATTCAGGGGATGTGCTGGCTAGAAGTGAGTTCAAGTGTGAATAGGCCATTTTTTACTATACTTACGTTTTAGCCCCAGGAAAAAAGTAGCGATATATCTAACTGGATTTTTCTTTTCCTTCTGTTGTTTTCCTTTTCTTCCTTCCTTTCTTTCTTTCTTTCCTTTTTCTTTTTTCTTTTTTGTTTGGAATTAAATAATCCAAAGGCTCTCATGAGCATGCGGGGGATTAAACCACAGTTGCCTTGGGTCTCAGTTGATCACACTCAGAACAGGAAGCCTGCTCACACAGTCCCTGCGAGCTCCCTTTCCAAGCCACAGAATTGGAGAGGGAACGGCCTTGGCCCACAGAGTCCACACATATGCGTGCGGATGTCTGCAGGCCTCCTCTCAAGACCTGACATACGTTCCTTCCTTCCTTCCTTCCTCTCTCTCTTTCTTTCTTTCCTTCTCTTTTAAAAAATTTTTACTTTATAATGAATATAGTTGATTAACAATGTTGTGTTAGTTTCAGGTATACAACAAAGTGATTCAGTGATACATATACATGTATCTATTCTTTTTCAAATTCTTTTCCCGTTTAGGTTATTATAGAATATTGAGTTCCCTGTGCTATATAGTATGTCCTTGTTGGTTATCTATTTTAAGACCTGACCGTTTCTTTAAATACCTGCAGCTATTCCTATTCCCCGGGGAGAGTGCACAGAACGAAGCCACCTTGTACCACCAGAAGCACATGGCCGTGACCCTCCTGGCCTCTTTCCTCTACTCCGCGCATCTGCCGGAGCGCCTGGCTCCTGGACGCTTCGACTACATTGGTGAGTGCCTGGTGGCCCCGATGCCCCTTGCCCTCCTATCCAGGCAGGGTTCCCATCCCTGACACCAGTGCACATAGTTGCAAAGAGAGGCCGGGGCAGGGAGAGAAGCAATTCTTCAGAAGTTCTCCAGGCACAGACCAAGGTTAGTGAAATTGTAAGGTGACAGAGGCCAGGATGTACGTAGCCAGTGGACGACCAGGGAGGATGTCGGAGGATGGAGAGGAGGTGGATCTAGGATTCTAAAGCATTTCCAGCAGGTATGGGGACAGGAGAGTCCCATTATTACCTAGAATGTGAAATCCCGTTATTAAATGAACACGTAAGGCAGCCGTAAAGAGGAAGAGGAAAGACAGAGTACAGCTGGCTCTGAGGGTACCAGCTGGCAGGGGGCTGTGCTGAGGAGAGGAAAGTGTCTCTGGCTCGTTCAGGTGGGTACGATGGGGCCAGGAATTGTGGTAGAGCAGTGGTTCTCAGGTATGGCCCGTGGACCAGCAGCCTCAGCATCACCTGGGAACATGCAGATTCTCGGTTCCCAGCCCCCAGACATCCCGTGTCTCAGAAGCTGTGTGATTCTCCAGGGGAGCCTGAGCTCACTCAAGTTAGAGAAGCCATGTGGTGGAGAGGTGTGGGAACCACAGGGCTTTACACCTGCTGGCAGGGTTCCTTCCTCTCTGTCTAGGGAAGCGGGTGGCACTGCGGAACATGTCTCCTCCGCCCTGGCTCTGGGACTGGCTGGAGGAGGGACCCTTGGGCCACTTCTGGTGAGGGTGATGAGTCCTGGGATGAGAGCTCCTCAGATAAGCTATCAGTACCATGGCGATTCAGATCCTTACCCCCAGGTGGCGGGCAGGAGCCTCGGTTCTCCCCAAGCCCATTTTGTCCATGGGTTTCCATCTTCTGCCTAAGACACATGGCCAGATTTTGCTTTGTTTGCTCTGATTAGAGTTTCATCTCCTTTCCTTCTCTCCTGCCAGAAGGGGTTACAATGAGCAAAATGCTTAGAGGGCAGATTTCAAAAAAGGAGGGAGATGAGAGGGCCAGGGGATTGGAACCTGCCTAAGGAACCTGCCCAGCACGTCCACCGCCCCAGCTCCAGCCAGATGAAATAGAGGTGGTAGTGTACGAAGTCTGGGTGGGGGGGACCTTGTTTTCCCAGCTCTGGCTTCTTAATAACATTTTATTTCCTCGCCTCTATCCTGTCCTCTTGGGCCTAGAGCAGAAAGACACTCCTATGGGGGGAAATTGGCCAGACGGGCAGTTAGTAACAGATCTTTAACAAAGGGTTTGGAAAATTCTCCGTCCCTAAATAACAGAGTCAGTCAGATGCTGGGCTCCCTCTCCAACGCCCACAGGAAGTTCCTCCCTATTCCTGCCAGGAGGGATTGTTGAAATC